TGCTACATATTGTATGAGACCCATAGGTACCGTCTGTTGGAAAAATGGGGTGGACATGTTTTGAATCTTGAAGTACATGGTACATATTTACTCTTGTGGTTTAAGTGTTTAAAGACATTGATTTGCATATTCTAATATGTGAACTAAAGCAGGAATGACTTGTCTTCCATTCATTATTTTTAATTTAATGCAGCTCATTTTAACAGCAGAATCACTTCTGTTCCATATTGCCCCTTATGAAAGTGCATTTTCATATTAACTATACAATTTTTTACGCATTGATTGATTTATTCCTTCAATTTCTTCTTCCTTTCAAAAATTATTATGCTTACATTGTTAGTAAAATGACATTTGTCAGAGTTTTAATGAGTGTTGCATATTCAACTGCTTTAAATATGTTCACAGGACAATTTGGATATCATCAGTTAAATGAGATATATGTACATAGGTCGTACCGAAAGTCATGAGCAACTTTATTTTGCATTCAACCTGGGAACAGCAGATGAGAGAGAGTATAGTGGTAGGTGGAACCAGCTGTTGTGTCAACCTTGAGTGTCTTGTGACGTCACTAGCTTGCATCACGTGACCAGTATCACTCCTAGCAGAATGGCCAACAACGATATGTCGTTTCGCCAGCGTGCTGTCATCGAATTTCTTCTGAAAGAGGAAATCCCTGCTGCAGAAATTCATCAGAGACTTCAGCGTGCTTATGGAAGTGTGTGCATGGGTGCAAGCAGTGTTTGAAGATGGGTAAAACGTTTTAAAGATGGTAACACCAGCATCGAAGATGAGACTCGTAGCGGTCATCCTCGAACAGCCTCAACTGAACGCAACAAGGAAACAGTGGATGAAATCATTCAAGATGACAGGCGTGTGACTGTGGACACAATAGCCCGAAAACTTGGACTAGGGCACAGTGCAGTACAGGAGATTATTGAAAGCTTGGGCTATAGGAAAGTTTGCTCGTTGGGTCCCGCAGTTATTGACCAAAGACCACAAAGGTCACTGAAAAGCCATCACCTCAGAACTGCTGCAGAGATATCAGCATGACGTCAATTATTTTTTGCTCTGTATTGTGACAGGTGATGAAAGCTGGTTTCACCATTTTGAGCCTGAAACGAAACGGCAGAGTATGGAATGGCAGAATTTGCATTCTCCGTCAAAAAAGAAGGCAAAGACAGTGCCATCAGCTGCAAAGGTGATGGGCACAGTTTTCTGGGATGCAGAGCGGTTTATTCTGGCTGAATTCCTGGAACGTGGGCAAACCATCAATGCTGCTTGTTATGTCCAGACGCTGCACAAGCTCTGTTGTGCATTGCATGATTAATGTCTGGGACGAAACATCATCGCCCCCACAACGCTTACCTCACATTGGAAGCAATTGCAAAGATGGGGTGAGAAGTTCTTCCACACCCCTCCTATAGCCCTGATCTGGCACCCTCTTGACTACCATCTTTTTGGATTTGTGAAGGATTAGCTGCGTGGACGTTTTGAGACAATGGAGGCAATTCAGAAAGCAGTGCGTCAGTGTCTTCGGATGGCTGGAACGGAATTTTACAGAAGGGGAATTTAACTCCCAGAACACTGGGAGAAATGTGTACAAAGAAGTGGCAATTATGTGGAAAAATAAAGAAAGGTCTATAGATTGAGGAGGTGTATTTGGTTTGTCATTAATAAAGCATGTTACTTTACAAAAAATTGTTGCTCATGACTTTCAGTATGACCCTCGTATGTATGTATGTAGTCTAAATGCTTTTTGGTCAGAGGATAATTATTGAAGGCTTGTTTACTACACGTAAATAATATAAAGCATGGCTTTTTGTTCAGGAATTCACAAATTACTGAATATTGTACATTCTGTGATAATTGTTTTGTTGCTTATATGTATTGCCAACTATAGAGGAAAATAATTAATTGTACTGTATATGTATACTTAATATTACTGTTTAAGATAACAAGGTCTATGCAGCTGTCCTAATATCACATACAGTAATTTTCAGCCATGCACATTTCCAAGTGCCTAGAGCCTCCTGAGGGAAGTGCTCTATCGTCCTGCCAATTTTGGTCAGAATAGGCATAAAACAAAAAACAAACTGATTTTAGTCCACAAGTGAACTATACCCACCAAGCAACCGCCGCTTGTTGGTGAAGTTAGTGCCAACTTTAGTGGATAGAGGATGTTGCATGGTCAGCGCAACGAATCCCCACGGCTGTTAATTTCGGTTTTCTAGACCGGAGCTGCTATTTCCTTGAAATAGCACCTCAATTATCCTCACTAGGCTGAGTGGACTCTGTTCCAGACCCACTACTTCTCAGAATATCTGGTACCGCCAGGAATCGAACACAGACCTCTGGATCTCTAGCCAGGAATTTTGACCACTATATCACAGAGGCGGTCCTCAGAATAGGTATAGTGGTGTGAAAATGTGTAAAGAGCAAACAGCAAAGAGGTGTGCGCATGCATGCACACTATGCACTCTTCTTTATAGATGAGTAAAGTAAAGTAAAGTAAAGGTATGCACTTAACAGGCCGTGGAGGCCCATTGGGTTGTGAGATGTTGAGGTTCCCATATTTTCTAGACAGCTGGCTCCAAAATGGCGGTAAGTTTGTCAGCCTTACGCGCCAGCCACCTTTTACCCCCAGGAATATTCCTGGTACTCATTTCTGTTAGAGGCTGAGTCAGCCCCAGGGCCATATTGCTCCTAGAAGGATTATGTCAGTTGAATAATCCAACTTATTGGGATTTGATCCCGCGACCTTCTGACTTTTAGCATAGTTCCTCAACCAACAATGCTACTGTGTGCCCCTACTCTTCTTTATAGATTCATGAAGATATTTAGTTTTGGCTTTATGTAAAGCACGTCATATTTTTAACTAAAATTAAATCATGATTTATTCCAGCCGTCTTACAGTGCATACACTCATCCACTTCACTCTTTACTCCCGCACTACATGTTTCGGCACAAAGGTGCCATCTTCAGGTGCTTTTTGATTTACGTTAAAGAACTTCACTGCATGCCTTGCCATCTTCATACTAAAATAACTAAAATATATGTTCATCATATATATTGATAAATATTAAATATTAAAAATATTAAAACTGTTCAGGATTTTTGTCCCTATGTCGCATCTCAATACGCGAGTCACACCTATCCTCTTCTATCGGAGCACCCTCCCTACTTTCATGTGTGTATTGTGCTTTGTGTTGTGTCTTGCTCCTGTGACTGCGTGTGTTATACTGCTGGGCCTGCTGGGTATGTGTGGATGAGTGTATGCACTGTAAGACGGCTGGAATAAATCATGGACATAAATCAGTGCAACAGGACACTAAAATATAACAAAATTAAAGTTGTCTCCCTCGCTCAGGGTACCATAAATTTAAACAAAATTTGGTAAGATGTTCTAGAAAGGGAACATGCCCTCCTCTACATGTATTCATTTTGTGCACTTTGTTCAAAGAATGCATAGATGCTGAACTGTTCTGTAAAAGGTATTAACAGAAACCACAATTTTCTTTCTCTTATTGCAGGATGGATTTGCACCCCCTGAAGATGTTGATGGAGATGTTCCACCACCACCAAATGAAGAAGAAGAGTACTGATCAGTTTAGGCCCTAATGTGTACGTGTAAAAATGTGGTGGCAGTGAAATGTCTGCAGTGATTTCGTACATTGGATATACTTAAAATCTCACTATGAAATTAAGAAATGTACTATAATTCCTGTTTATTTTCAGCATGACTTTGAAATAACTTGCACATGAGTGGCTTCTTTTCATAAGTGATATGATTGCAGTCTTAACAGTGCATACTGCTTTGCCAAGAGCATAAATATGTAAGTTTGTATGTTTGCCATTCAGATATACTTTTTAAAGGCCGAATTTGTGCCACATAATAACATTGAATCGTATAGCTTATGAGATGTGCCGTTTCCACTATAAATATTGAAAGATAATATTTAAAATGTTGCAGCCTTGCAGGTAGTGAGTACACTTCTTGCATTGTGTGTTAAATTTCAGTAGGTATGGTGCAGAGTGTCTATCTTTTTTGTGTCATGAGACTTCTCTTTGGCAGCATTTAAAGTTCCATTTTCCATTATTTCAGTTGTGTTTCTTGAGTTGTTAGTCATTTCATATTCAGTAAGAGTTACAACCTCTTGGATTCCATAACAGACTTGTACCACTGTACTTTTTCTTTGGAGCTGAGAGTATTTTAACTTCTGTGGAATTTTGTCATGTTTTGTTTCAGTAAGTAAAAATGTAACATATTAAATGTTGTTTACTTCATATGTGTGTGATGTTTTTCTTATACTTATTCAGCCCTTTAGCCACTAACAATGGTGTCAGTTTCCTTTGATATCGGGTGATATATCTGTAGTTAAATGAATGGCAGTTATGTATTTAGGACAGCAGGTGAAGGTATACTACTCTGTCCAAAAAGTATCCGACCTTGGGCCAGGAAAAAAAAGTTCTGTATCAGGGTGGTTACAATACCTAATCGCCTTCAAAGTAGGCCCCTTGTGACTCCACACACTTAGCCCAGCGGTCCTTCCATCGCTGGAAGCAATTGTGGAAGGCTTCTTTTGGAATGGCGTACAGCTACACCATCGCGTTCTGTATGATGTCCTCGCGGCTGTCAAAACGGCAGCCTTTTAGCGGTCTCCTCAATCTCGGGAACAGCCAGAAATCACAAGGAGCCATGTCAGGAGAGTAGGGAGCCTTGCAAACCTGCAGAATGCCTTGCTTGGCCAGGAAACCCTTGATCAGGTGCAATGAATGAGCTGGGGCATTGTCATGATGCAGCTGCCAGTTGTGTGCGTCCCACAGCTCCGGTCTCTTGCGCCGAACTGCATCACGAAGATGGCGGAGGACTTCTTGGTAGTACTCCTTATTAACAGTCTGGCCTAGTGGTGCCTACTCATGATGCACAACACCCTGGTAATCGAAAAAAACAGTATCACGTTCACATTGCTCCAAACCTGTCGTGTTCTTTTGGGCCTCGGGGATGTTGGATGCTTCCATTGTGACGCCTGGACCTTAGTTTCCGGGTCATATCCGTACACCCACGACTCGTCACCAGTGATCACAGTCTTCAGGAACTCAGGATCCCCGTTGGCGCACTCCAGCATGTCCTGTGCGACCTCAAGGCAGAGTTGTTGCTGCTCCAGCGAAAGCAGCTTGGGCACAAATTCTCAGTTAAAATTGTTTGCGGAACCTCTGCTGATCCCAACCTCATCAGCAACTTCATGGACGGTCAAACGACGGTCCTCCATGATCAGTATACACACTTTTTGAATGACATCAGCATTTTGGCTCATTGACGGTCTCCCAGAACACTGCTCACTGTCTGCCAACATATGGCCATGTTTAAAGCGGTTGAGTGACCCACACTGCATCATCGCCGAAAGCCTGCTGAATTTTGCAAATTGTTTCCGCTTGGGTATCCCCAAGTTTCTGACAAAACTTAATGCAGTATTGCTGCTCTAAGCATTCTGTCATCTTGAGCGAAACGAGAATGTGACGAACATGTGTTACACCACTTCGCTATCTGGCAGCCACAGACACATCCGGTGGTGTTGCGAGTCAGCAAAAAATCATGCATGCGCATGAAAGTCCCTTCTACCACTACGCTCAGTTTCCCCACCCTTTTGGCCATTACAGCGGAAAAAAATAAAGTCGGATACTTTTTGGACATACGGTATTTCTGTATACATGAGACACTATCTGTACAGACTGGATTTATTATGTGTGTTCACTGTGCTGATCTTGTCCAGAACTTCCCAGTCATGTTTGGCAGAATAGTCATGAGAGGGCATAGATCTCCAAGACAGTATATATGAATGTTCGATCTTCCATGCACTAAGGACATAGATGAAATGTATAATGTGGAGGTTCTGTTGATCTGCATGTTCCGTTTCTGAAATTCGGTGGATTCTGATGAAATTTATATTTTGGTTTACAGCAGAAGTCTGATGAATTTAATTTTGATTTGTATTCTCCATCTTTGGCTATATGGTCCTTTTAAATTTAACCTTTGCCTTCCTCACTATTCCTGCCCTTCTTAAAACAGTTTGGCAGGATTCATTGGTTTTTTGAACAAGTAATGTTGCCTGGGGAGTAGTAGTTAGCCTTTACCAAACCCCCTTAACCTAAGAGGACCAATGCTTTTCTGTAGGGATGTACTCCCTTTGGGGGAGTTGGCTTCACCATGCCTAAAGAACCCCCCTTCCCTTGGTTTTTCTGTAGGGATTTTCTTTCCCTTAGCCAGAGAGTCCCGTTTGAAGGCACCAGACACTTGCCCTTCACCCTGCCCCATCTGCCACATCTATGCTGTCACCACAGAATGTGTTGTCCAGGGGTCACCGTGAGGTGGGGGAGCTAGGATTTTCCAGCAGAGTCCTTCTTAACAGGTGGCATTCTGGTACTTAATGGTGTGCACCTACTGGCATTAGTGAACTCCACCAGAGCCATTTACTGGCCTTTGACCCCCTATGATTTGTACTGGTCCAGTATAAACCGTGCTTTACATGGAGCTCAAATTGAATGTTTTCAATTTTTCCAAAACTGACTCCTTATACAAAACATCAGTACTGAGAAGTAAAACTTTTATTTAAAATAGTTTTAATGCACTGTACAAATATGAAACAATGAAATGCCAATACAGTATACCTTCTGTTTTACATTGGCAGTTTCTCTTGCTTCTTTTGTGTTGAAAGTGCAGTGCAGTGAAGAAAAGGAAATAGAAATTGCAGTATATTGTGACGCATTGCTAGGTAAAGGTTAGCTAAGCACGTTCTTGAATGTTACACTGTCAACAAGAATAATGTCCATTGCTAGACATTGGGTGTGGATTTGCATAGCAGCATGAACATGCGTTCCCATGACAACGGATATGGGGATTACATCAGATGAATACATGTACTGTCGGATTGAGTGTTCAGTATTCAGGTTGTGCGAGGTTATAACTATAGTTGTAGAACAAGAACCAGGATGAAGGGAAGCCTTGGCAGTCAAGACTGAGTGTGAGCTGTAAGAATTGATTGTAACTGTAGTAGAGGCATCCAGTAAATCCAATCATTGAATCTAGAGGAAGCATATTGTAACATGTTGCGCAACGGAGAACCCCTCCCTACCCAGCAGCAACGTGGCAACTCAGGCCACAGGCGCGTGGCGGTAACATAGCGCTCCCTCCCACCCTTCCGTGGTGACGTAACGTGCAATGCTACGTACCCGTAATCAACTTCCTACTGTGACGTGGAACGCAACAGGCACCACTGCGACTATATGAGGTAACTGCACAGCAGCTACCAGCGAGTTGTAACCTGGCCATCGCCGAAGACAGAGTCGAGTTATAAAGTGACAGTCGCCGAGTGTGTTATCAACAGTTCTCCAGTCAGCCGACTACTGTTGGAGTATAGCAGCCATCACGGAAAGAAGAACCGGACGTGTGTGTGATTGTGTAATTGGGAGTGTGTGTGATACAGTGATTCATAGCTCCCCTACTGTATACGTGTAGACTACTGAAGGCAGAGTGAACTGATTTGCGCATAGGGTTATAAATCGTGAAACCCCGCAACAGTGTTAACAGATTAATGTGATTAGGGTTATAAAGTGTGAAACCCCGCAACTGTGTGATAAGTAATTGTAGCCGTTATTTGTAGATTGTTGAATAAACCAATTAATGATCTCTACGGCGTCTTCAGTAACCAGCAACACGTTACACTGGTGTCAGAAGTGGGATTTTGGACTTACACACGTGACCGACGAGATTCGAACTCAAGACACGTTACACTGGTGTCAGAAGTGGGATTTGGACTTACACACGTGACCGACGACATTCGATCTCAAGACACGTGACAATTTGGTGTCAGAATTTTTACGAACTTAAACACGCCTAGACAAATAATTGGATTATTGTGCATCGAGTATTTGACTGCTACAAAATGGAGAAACAAGATATGCAGCGAATAATCGAAATGCTGGCAAGAATGGAGGCCAGCATGAAAACACATCACGAAGAGATGAGAGCTATCCCAAAAAAAAAAAAAGCAGAACCCAACCAAAAAAAGACAGAGAAGATTTGCTGACAAAATTAGACGTCAACCAAGAACAAATGGACGTCATGCTGACAAAATTAGACGCCGACTTCAATGCCTGGCTGGAAGAGACGACAGCCTGCCAGGATGTAACGGAGAAAAATCCAAGAGGAAAAGCGGTTGTAGTTAACCGACAGTCGATTCCTAACGAAGACAATGAGA